ATGATGGAGTTTTATGAGAACGGGAGAGCGATTTATAGGATTGGAAAAAAAAATAAAGTGAGAATTTTCACCATAAATCTTTCCTACTTCTCTATATCCTTCTCGTCCACCAATCTCTTCTATCTTCACATCGATCACTATCATCAATCTCACTCGTTTATTTTTCCATCCCAATATCCACCAATGATCTTCCCCTTCTTTCTTCACATCAATCTCCACAATCAATCTTTAACATTTCTTCTGATCAATCTCCAAAGTCAATCTGTATGTATTTATTGATATCAATCTCCACAGCCTATCACTACCTCGATAACTAAAAATACATAAATATCAATCTCTTTCTTCATATTAATCTCCTCCATCTTCGATCTCACTCACCTATTCTTCATATTAACCTCCAAAGCCTATTGATATATCAAAACTACATAAATATCAATAGTTATTCAGATATCGTGAGAAAATCACTCAAATCACTCTTTTCCTTCAATCAATCTCCATCTTCAATCTCACTCACCTCGTTCTTCATATCGATCTCCACAGGCTATCCCTACTTCGGTATATAAAAATATGTAAATATCACTCTCTACAAATCACTCTTTTTCTTCATATCAAACTCCATCTTCAATTTCACTCAACTAGTTCTTCATATCAATCTCCACAGGCTATCACTACTTCGGTATATAAAAAAATATAAATATCAATCCCTACAAATCAATCTCTCTATTTCTTCATATCAAAGTCCATCGTCAATCTAACTCACCTACCTCTTCATATTAATCTCCAAAAATCCATGTCCCATAATTAATTTTTATATAAAAATATGCACAAACCACTCCGCCATTCTTTCTTCACATCGATCCCCACTAAAAATCATTACTTTTATTTCTTCCAACATCAATCTCCACAAACCACCCTCGNACTTGTATTTCTTCAAATATTAATCTCGACAAACCACTCTCGTCTAATGCTTTATTCATATCAATCTCCACAAATTCTCCTTCTTTCTTCATATCTATCTCCACTAACAAACACTAATTGTATTTCTTCAAATATCCATCTCCACAACCTCCCCCTCGCCTAATGCTTTATTCATATCAATCTCCACAAAGCCACTACTTTTTCTTATCTCATATCAATATCCACAGTCAATCACTACTTTTATTTCTTCAAGTATCAATACCCACAAATCATTCTCCTTTCTTCAATAAGTGTCCCCATCAATCTCGACGTATTTTTCTTCAAATATCAATCTCCACAAATCACCTATCTCATTCTTTATTCATATCAATCACCACTATCAATGTATGTCTAAATTATTTTTTCAAATCTGTCTCCACAAATGTGTTGCGAGAGGTATCATCACTATTACCTCACTTGCCTTAGCTTAACTCTACTAACCTCATCTTTGCTCCAAGTTCGACACGACGAGCGTTACGCACAAACTAAAGCACATAGAAAGAAATAAAACAAGGCAGAAAAATGGAAGCTTTTATGCTAATTTGTTGATATTCCATCTTTATGCATGGGTTGAATTGTCTTTCTTGTCTTCTACCGTCCAGCAGGAAGGTCTCCACCTCGGCAACCATCGCCGTGGGCTTTTCTCTTCTGGAGGGAAAAAGCATAGAAAAGAAAAAGAAGGATTTGACGACAGTCCTATGGCGGGGGGGTTGATGGAGTTTGCAGAAATCAGAAACTTTTAATTGCCCGGCCCTGAGCGACGATTCCCGCCCCTGGAACCTCGTTTGGGTCCGTCGGGCCATTTCAATTTCAAATGAGCCCCGACGGCACCCGCGCGCGCGCCCCCTCCATTAAATGAAACGTGAAATGAAACTTTTGACAAAAGTTGGCCCCGTTGTGGCGGAAGGGGTGGCAAAACAACCCTCTGCATATGTATGGGGCCTGGAGACACTTTGTACCTTGTAATCTTTTGTCCCAACGCTTTTTTATTTTATTTTATTCTTTTTTTTAAATCCTATTTGTCCTTCTTCCCCCCCCCTTTTATTGAATAAAATTTATTCAAAGCTTTTCAACCCCTTTAAAACAACTTTCTAATGGATCTAAGAAAGAACACCAACCTTGTGTATCATAGTGGACGCATCGAGTGTTACAGCACGGCGGACAGTGCGAGACTGGGCGGACCGCGCGCCCCACCGGAGCACGACGCTGGAGAGGGAAGGCGTTGCGTTTTCCGGCTGGCGTGACTCTCAACACCCCACCCACGTACCCAATAAGCCTAATGGGACTTAGGACAAAGTCCGGGAAAATTTCTACGATAAATTGATCGAGGAAATTAAAACTGAATTTTTTTTATAGGGAAAATAGGATTTCTGGCCTTTCTAGGGTGTTTTATTTTTTTTATAATTAAATTTTCTTTTTTTTACCGTTGTAAAATATAAACGCATGGTGGCAGGAGGAAAATATTTTTTTTCTCTCTCACCCCTTTGTCGTTTTTCTACCCCTGATAGATTTTTCTTCTGAATCTGAATTTTTCCTTTTTTTTCCCTTTCGCCTTAAGGCAGCCTGTTTACAAAAAGCCCCCTCTGGAAAAAGGAGGGGCACCACCGAATTAGAAACGAACCCGTCGGGGATCTATCTGTTTACATTCTTAAATCTTCCATCGTGTTTACCCGATTTCCGGTTTTAAACACGGGGATCCGACGGGGTAAAATAAGAAGCGAGAACGCGCGGACCTTCTCCAGGACTTGTTGCCCTTTTTCTCAACCCCCCCCCCCAACCAACTTCCAACAGGTCGCTGATCGATACGACCTGTTGATTTGTGCAGCAACAGGCCCACCGGTGGGACGACCTTTTACATCAATGACGAGAAAAAAAAAAGAATAAACACGACTGATAAATCAGACCCGCGAAATCAATCGATCAATCATCCGTCAAGTCATTGTTGATCTACGCCGCGAAATGAAAAAGTCCTGCATCGGTTCGTAAATTGGTCAAGATTGGTTTGTAACAATTTTTCATATTAGTCACCGTGTTCGTATCAATCGCTATCATCAATCACTGCGACATTTCATGTCAAATACAAATTTCTAGTCAACCTCGATTCCTTTCTTCCTTCAATTCTCATTACTTTCTTTAAATATCAATCTCTACCATCAATCTCATTCACTTCTTTACACCAATCACAATAATATACACTTTTCTTTTTCCAAATCAAACTCAACCTTAAAACTCACTCACCAACCTCTTCATATCAATCTCTACAATCGCACTCACTCCTTCTTTCGTCGTATCAATCACCACCTTAAATCTCACTCACCTCTTCATATCAATCTCTACAAATCACATTCTTCCTCTTTCTTCATATCAATCACCACCTTAAATCTCACTCACCAACCTCTGCATATCAATCTCTACAAATCACATTCTTCCTCTTTCTTCATATCAATCACCACCTTAAATATCACTCACTAATCTCTTCATATCAATCTTTACAAATCACTTTCTTCAGATTAATCTTCACGTTGAATCTCACCCACCTCTTCATTTCAATCTCTACAAATCATACTCTTCATCTTTCTTCGTATCAATCGCCACTATAAATCTCATTTACCTACCTCTTCTTATCAATCTCTCCTATTTTGATTTTCTGTATTAATCACCGTAAATCAACCACTCTCTCCTTCCTTCTTTCTTATCATTCTCCACCATCACTATTTGTTTTCTCTTCATATCAACCTCTATCATCAGACAATGAAAGTATTTCTTCAAATACCAATCTCCAGTAATCACCCTCTCTCGCCTTCTTTCTTCATTTTAACAATTTCTACAATCAATCACCTATTTTTATTATTTCACATATCAATCTCAACAAATCACTCTCTCACCCGTCTTTATATCAATCTCCTACGTTATTCCCCTACTTGCATATCTTCAAATATCTCTCCAAATATCACCCAATCTCTCCTGCTTTCTGCATATCAATCTAACCCAATCCTTTACATCAATCTCCACAAATCACCCATCTCTCTTTCTTCATATCAATATCTAACACCAATAACAAACTTGCAATTCTTCAAGTAACAATCTCCACTTCTTTGTCTACATCTCTCTTTTTCTCTCGATCTATCTCATACGTACTTCACATACATTTTAATCATCTCTCTCTCTCTCTCTCTCTCTCTCTCTCTCTCTCCCCCCACCCACATCACGTCTAGACTACATTCCGACCCCTGCCCATTCGATCTATCTCGAAAGTCCCGTGTCCATCCATACTTGCAGATAAGAGCACACGCAAGGGGGAAAATTCGTGATAGTCAAAAGAGAGAAATCTGTAAATATAGAAGCGTCCAATTTGTTCCTTTTCCTCTGGACGTAAGCCGGTCTGTTTGTTCCTCCCCGGTTTGTTTGTGTTTGAACGCCTCGAGTTCGGAGCCCATCGTCAACAAACAACAAACAACAACAAATAAGGTTTTTTTTGGGTTGGGTAATTTGTTTAAATTTTCTCAGGCTCAGGCAAATTCTTTATTAAAGTGGACTATTATTTCCATTTTTTTTGTATTAACGTAGTGAGTGTTCAATTAGCAATTAGTAGGTAGTGGATTGGGTTTTTTTTTTTTTGTTGGGGGGGGATGAGGGTGTTATTATCCAAAAGGGTTTAGGTCACGGAAGCCTGTTCCTATCTAGGATCTGACGTGCCTGTGGAACATCACGCGGTCAATTTTTATTATTGCTAATTGTGACGGGGAAGGGACTTCGTTGGACTTGCGCTTATCGGACGGAGGCCTCACTAAGTCCCCTCGAGGCGGCCGTTGAAACTTAAAATAGTCGTGTCGCAACGAGGGTGATGTCACCGTATCGCATGCAAATTACACAATCCTTTTTTTTAGTTTTATTAATTTTGCCCGTTTTGCAAAGACCTTGGCATGTTTAAACCCGGTCCGCCGGGTCGCGCTTCTCCCTGGAGCAGCGACAACCGGTCAAAGTAAAAATAAACAAACAAAACCCTGGGGTTTTGTTTCGAAAGATTTTTTTAGTGGACTTACCTCGAATTTGAGATCGTACATCGCTTCGGCGGCGAGAGGGTTGAGAACGGCTTGGGGTGCTGTGGCGGGTGGCAAAATCAGCGCCAGGGGTCGTTTCATGCTCTCGAAAAATTCCTCCTTTCTCGACAAACTACTCGGTTTTGTGGCGTGAAGAGGGGGTGGGTTAAATTTTTTTTCCGGGGTCGGATTTGTGTTTGCGAATTAGGTTGGCAAAGATTTTCCCCGGCTACTCAACGTGTTCGAATCGCTCTTACCTGTGAACATAAAAAAAGGGGAGAAAATGTTAATAAAACAATTCCTATTTCAGCCATTTCTACAACTAATAGGTCTGAGGGAAAAAAGAAGCTACGAAGGTTTTTATATTGATCAAAATCATGAAGATGTCACGAAGGTTGTCAGATCTGACAATTTTACGAGCAATCCTCGAGGATCTCTCAAAGGTTGTCAGATCTGACAATTTTACAAGCAATCTTCCAGGACTCTCAAAGGTTGTCATATCTGTCAGTTTAAAAACTTTAGGAAGTTTGTCCTATCTGGCTTTTCAAGCCACAGAAATTGTCATGAAATTTGTCAGATATGACAGTTCGAAGTTGTCATGAAAGTTGTCAGATATGACAGTTCGAAGTTGTCATGGAGGCTGTCCGATATGACAATTTTACGAGCAATCTTCGAGGACCTCACAAAGGTTGTTAGAGGTGACAAACTAAAAACCCTTATGAAGATGTCATGAAGTTAGTCAAATATGACAGTTTGAAGTTGTCATGAAGGTTGTCAGATATGACAGTTTGAAGTTGCCATGAAGGTTGTCGGATATGACAGTAGGAAATTGTTATGAAAGTTGTCAGATATGACAGTTCGAAGTTGTCAGGTATGACAGTTCGAAGTTTCATGGAGGCTGTCAGATATGACAATTTTACAAGCAATCTTCCAGGACTCTCAAAGGTTGTCAGATCTGTCAGTTTAAAAACTTTAGGAACGTTGTCCTCTCTGGCTTTTCAAGCCACTGAAATTGTCATGAAGGTTGTCAGGTATGACAGTTCGAAATTGTCATGAAAGTTGTCAGATATGACAATTTTACGAGCAATCTTCGAGGACCTCACAAAGGTTGTTAGAGGTGACAAACTAAAAACCCTTATGAAGATCTCATGAAGTTAGTCAAATATGACAGTTTGAAGTTGTCATGAAGGTTGTCAGATATGACAGTTTGAAGTTGTCATGAAGGTTGTCAGATATGACAGTTTGAAGTTGTCATGAAGGTTGTCGGATATGACAGTTCGAAATTGTCATGAAAGTTGTCAGATATGACAGTTCAAAGTTGTCAGGTATGACAGTTCGAAGTTGTCATGGAGGCTGTCGGATCTGACAATGTCAAATAAAATCGTCAGAAACTCTCAGGAAGATTGTTAACAGGAGCCTTTTAGGGCTTTGTCAGATCTGACATTTTTACAAAAAAAAAAAAAAAAAACTACAGTAGGAAGATTGTCAGATATAATGCTTTATAAAAAACGAGCCTTCATAAAACGTTTGACAATAGCCACTACGTTGAACGTTGGGTCATTTTTGCCCACACGGCGAATAGGATGTGTGATGTCAGTTTGAAAAAAAGATGAGATGAAAGAAGGAAAAGGAGTCCAGCCTTGAAAAGGTGAAAATGCCTGAATGTAAATATTTGCAGCCGGGAGGAGTTGTGAAGGATGGCCGTGATAGTGCGATCCCAATCTCGAGGTAGTCGTTAATTCTTCGGCTTTTTGTTTTCAAAATGAGTACGCAGTGGGTAGGAGGAGAGGAGAGAAAAAGTTGATTGCGCTCCTCCGAATTTGGCGAAACGTGAATTATGCAACTGAAATCGGATAAAAATCGACGGCTGTCTGAGGAATGATTACAAGGTCGAACACCTCGGGGCTGATGTCATCCCGCGATGGTCTCCTCGACCTTCGCCTCGAAAACGAGCGAAGCCGCGCGGGTCCACGACGAGACGGTTTCCGGGCCTTGACTTTTACCCGTTGCCTCACGACGTGAGACCCTGAGCGAGAGAGGGACAGGAGCGCGCACCGCCGCCCCACCATGATGTCCGAAATGTTCGCGGGTCGACGGACTCTGTGACCGACGGAAACCGGTCTTCGGACGGGCAGGAGGAGAAGCGAGGACGGGCGGACCCAGCACAATTAACAATTATCGCTCTTGAGATCTTCCGATCTGACAGGTTGGAGTGCAGGAAGCGCCTTCTTCTCAGACGCATGAGTTCAACAAAGTACTACTTATACGTCAGGTTTGACGTTCAACAGTAGATGGTGATTGAGTGAAAGAAAATAAACAAGATCTGGCGACCACCCAGACAACGTAACAATGAAAAATCACAGCAAGGATTGAATCTTACAACAATGACAAGAAATTGTAGGTTGTCGCATATGCTAACAAAGACCTTTTCTTATTTGTTGTTCATCGAATCTGACAATAAGCCCCAAGAATTCATTTGTGGGTCATTAAATCAAACAAAAACCTTTTTCTACATTGTTAGAATTAGATCTCAGCAAATCCAAAAAATCTCTTAGTGGTCGTCAAATTTATTAATGTACTGGGTCGTCAAATTTACCAATAAAGCCCATAAATCTATTTGTTGGTTTTTCAAATGCGACACACGCAAAAAACTTATGGGTCTGAAATCTGACTAAAAACTCCCACGAATATCTTTGTGGGGTCTTCAAATCTGATGACAAATCACATGAATTAAGTCCAAGAACAATTTTGTGGGGACACAGATAAACTAAACCCATGAATACCTTTGTTGGTATCAAATCTAACGACAAAAGGCCATCAATAACTTTGTGGGTTTCCAAATTTGAAAGCAAAGCCCACGAATACCATTGAGGGGTCTTCAAATCTAAAATAAGTCCAAGAACAACTTTGTGGGGACACAGATAAACTAAATCCATGAATACCTTTGTTGGTATCAAATCTAACGACAAAAGGCCATCAATAACTTTGTGGGTTTCCAAATCTGAAAGCAAAGCCCATGAATTCCTTTGTGGAGTCCCCAAATCAGACCACAAAGCTCATAAGTACATTTATGGGTCTTCAAATTTGACAATTAAGTCTAAGAACAACTTTGTGGGGAACAGATAAACAAAACCCACGAATACCTTTGTTGGTATCAGATTTAAAGACAAAAGGCCATGAATAATTTTCTGGGTTCTCCAAATCTGATAACAAAGCCCCTGAATTCCTTTGTGGAGTCCCCAATTCAGACCACAAAGCCCATAAGTACATTATGAGTCTTCAAATTTGACAAGTCTAAGAACAACTTTGTGGGGCACAGATAAACAAAACCCACGAATACCTTTGTTGGCATCAGATCTAACGACAAAGGCCATGAATAACTTGCAGGGTCTCCAAATCTGAAAACAAAGCCCATAAATTCCTTTGTGGAGTCCCCAAATCAGACCACAAAACCCATAAGTACATTTATGGGTCTTCAAATATGACAAGTGCAAAAACAACCTTGTGGGGACACAGATAAACAAACCCCACGAATACCTTTGTTGGTATCAGATCTGACGACAAAAGGCCATGAATAATTTTCTGGGTTCTCCAAATCTGATAACAAACCCTATGAATAACATTTGTAGGATGTCTGATCTGAAAACAAATTCCATGAATTCCCCTGTGGGTTGAATGCTAAACACGAACGGTGTCGTGTTTTTATAAATGACGATAAACATTGCAAAAAATTACGTTTAAAAGGACAGCGTTATATCATTTCAGAGAGATCCATCTTCAGTCCGACTGGATCAATTCGATTACAATTCAAAGGCAAGGGCGGAAGTAGTTAAGTACAAGCTCCGCCTAAGAAAACCGCGTCTCCATGTAGGAATTTAATTTTAATGCTCAAGCCTGGATGATGATTCTGAAAAGGGGGTTGGGGGGTTGGGGGTTGAGGTTAATCCGCCCCTTAATCCTCTACCGCTCTCGCTCCCGTGGGAGGAAGAGGGAAAAATAAATGTTTGGCCGGATGAAATAACTGGATTGCTCGAGTTACATCGTCGTGATTATCTCTCGGACAGATACTTTCAACAGCAAATACACCGGGGCGCTCGCAAGCCGATTGGTTATCGACCCGGGTGGGAAAATCTACGGAACGTTTTATCGTCCCAGGCGGTTTTGCACCTAGCCCCCGCGAGGGGGGTCAACGTCCGGTTGCCTCTTTTTGCTTTCTCGTCTTACAGCTCTCCTGTTCCCTCTTCCTCCTCCATTCCGTCATCTCGGACCTTGGCATCCATTCGCCCCTCCTCCTCTTCCTCGGCCGGCTTCTTCTCGAGCGAAGTCGCCCTGAACCGACGACTTTCCGTCGTCCTCGGGGTCTCGGCCGAGGCACGTTTCATCTTCGCACCGAAGGGCGGGCTGAGGTCGCGTGGATTATTATGCGTAGGAGGACACCCACCGGGACTGCATGTGACCGGAAACGGTCTCTCTTAGAAATGATACGCTCCGAATAGTCGATAAATAAATCGGAAAAGAAAGGAAATGGAAATTCCTAACGTGTTCCCATCTCCTGGGAATGACAACACTGTAAATTCTACTTCAATCACAAAAGTATGACGGGAACTGTTGACGACCTTCTGCTGAAGATAAGACCAAAAGAAATATGACCAGAATGATGGATGACCAACCTTCCCTTGCTACAACCTTTATGGACTTTCGAACTGACCCTGAGACTTATTGGGATTTTTTAAAGTCAAATAATTTGTCAATCGGCTGTCGCGATCTCCGACGGGAAGCACTTTCCTATTAAATACGTGAAATGGTTGAACGTCTAAGTTAACTGTTAAACCTCAAAAAATTTCAAAATAGCAGTCACGAGCTTATAAGTTGAAGTACCAGATCTGAGGAGCTTTCAAATTTACCGCCAGATATGATGAACATTCAAGCTCAACGTCAGACGTGACGAGCTTTCAAACTGACCGTCAGACGTGACGAGCTTTTAAACTGACCGTCAGACCTGACGAGATTTCAAACTGACCGTCAGACCTGACGAGCTTTCAAACTGGCCGTCAGATCTGATGAGCTTTCAAACCGGTCGTCAGACCTGACGTGCTTTCAAACTGACCGTCAGACGTGACGAGCTTTCAAACCGACTTCAGAACTGACTGAGATTTGACGAGGTTACATGTGGACTGCCAACAGTTTTTATTTAGTTTCAAATTGTCTCTCTGATGTCATAATTACAACAGTTCGTGCGTATTTTGTGGTCTGCATG